CTTTACCTCTGTTCTCCATGTTCCTTCTGTCTCATTGCAGAGAAGCTTTTCTCCAGTATTAGGAATGATTTTTTTAATTTTATTTTTTTCGTAAATTATTTCTTCCCTTAATGATTTAGGGGGACTATCTTGAAACAAGTACAAATATTTCATGTGTAATACCTGTTCCATTTCTAACCAATTGAGCAATTTATTGCAATAAGTTACCTCACATCTTTCAGCAAGAAATAAATTAAATTGAATAGTAAATATATTACATAATGAATTGGGACACAATTAAAATTTGTTTTAAATATTTCTTTGGGGGAGAGGACACCACACTTCCACTCCAATGAAGAGAAACATTTTTACCTTCCAGAGGCCTTTTATTTTTTTTAACACCTATTATGCCACGAATTCTTAGGGAATAGGTTCCAGCAGCCGAGGCTCCTTCAAATTGGTTCTCTCAAAGTGTGCTTCTCTGGGTGGAGCAGGCTGGTGCTTCAGTTGGCTCTTTTCTGATCATTTTCCTTCACACATTTCAGGAAGCTATCTCAGCTCTTATAGTGCTTAAACGTGTTCGATAATCACATAATTCTCTTGGCCAGAATCATGCCTCAACTTGTTGTTTAAACAGTGCCAACAGCATGCTGGGTAACATAGTAGACTCTTCGTTTTGCATGGTAACACACTTGTGGGGCATTCCTTTTTTTACTTATAAAGATGGGGTTTCACCTTGATGGCCAGGCTGGTCTTGAACTCCTGACCTCAGGTGATCCACCCACCTCGGCCTCCCAAAGTGCTAAGATTATAGGCGTGAGCCACAGCACCCAGCCAATATCACCTTTCTTATAGATTTGCATATACGTGGCCAAAGGAACAACTTTATGTTTCTAAAAGGCCTAGAGAAACATATATCTGGTACCTCTCCTCTTTCCCTTTGTTCATCATTTTGGCAAATTATCCGAAGATGGCAGTTCTGGCCAAAAGGCAGGAATACTTTTTAATTTGGAGAGAAGTGCTTCCTCAAAGGGGCCTTTGAGGAAGAAAGGATGGAGACTTCATTCTCCTCTGATCCCTATTTGATCTCAACAGCTTTTCTCCAGTAAAGATGACTAGCAGACAACCTAGACGTTAGAAAAGCTGGGAGCAGGAGACTAGAATCTGCCACTTAATTCTCCATGACCCTTCTCCTGTTGGTCTGTTTTCAGTTTTTAGTATAAGTTGAGGTGCTGCTTTTTCCCATCTATTGTTTATTATCTCTAATCTATCACGAGTTATTTTTGGCATCAGTGTGAACAGTGAAGCCACACAGAATTCTTGAATGACTATAGGAAGGAGGAGCTAGTGGTGGTAATTGGAGGTGGGGATATGGGCCACAGGCACTGGTGAAGTATTATCCTGCCTCTGGGGAATACTGAAATCAAACATGCCTTTCATTATTTTACTTGGATAGGACCCAAGCAAAGATTTTTACTTCATTCAGCATTGGACTTAACAGTTGTAGAATTTTGCCCTTTTTCCCCTATATGAGGAAAAAACTTTCTTCCCTGATACCAAGAATTCCTCCCTGCATTTCAGAGAATCCTACACTCACCTTGCCTTTGCCCTTTTTACCACTTTCCTGGAGTGTTGATGAGTTCTGTGCCCCTGGAAATCTTACCCTTCTCTCTTTTCTGTTTCTGGTTGAACCTTGTTGATTTGCCTGAATCAGACCACTAGCTGGATATTAAGGCCTACTTCTTTACTTGGGTAAAGCTCAGCTTACATCTTTTTCTTTTTTTCCATCTAGTATAATTTTTGACTCAGCATCAGGTGTTTAGCCTCACTGGTAAACATCTTCTTTAGGATCTATATGTCTGTACCAGAAATAGGCTCCACATCTCTTAAAGCCTTGGTTGGCTCAAACCATATCTTCTCTCTCTCTGTCTTTTTTTTTTTTTTTTTGAGACAGAGTCTTGCTTTGTCACCCAGGCTGGAGTACAGTGGGTGCAATTTGGCTCACTGCATCCTCCACATCCCAGCTCAAGTGATTCTCCTATCTCAGCCTCCCAAGTAGCTGGGATTACAGGCACCCTCCACCACACCTGGCTAATTTTTATATTTTTAGTAGAGACAGGGTTTCTCCATGTTGGCCAGGCTGGTCTCGAACTCTTGATCTCAAGTGATTCACCTTCCTCAGCCTCCCAAAGTGTTGGGATTACAGCCATGAGCCACTGTGCCTGGCCTCTTTTTTAGCTTGAAGCATGCCTCTTTTAATTCTTGAATAGAAGACAGATAACTAGCATACCTTAAACTCAATGATGAGTTGAGCCTTTGTAGGCTCAGGTTACCAACTTTTTGAGGTTTTCTTTAACGGCAATATGTTCTGATGTCCTCTTTTACCAGAATCTGTCATTATTGATACCATAGTGCTTTAATGTATCATTATAATACTATCAATAAAAATTATATTTACCAAGGGAAAAGTAGGTTAGTCCTGTACTAGAGGTCAGTGAAGAAATAGAGGTTGGGTTAGGAATCATCCACAGTGTAATTGAAGACTCTGAGGTCTTTATTACATTACTTTCAGGATCTAGGAAATCTGTTTTTTAATGTTTCCTGTGTATATACTATGGACAAGCCTGTAACATTGTATATCCCAAGACTTACAAGGGTCTTAACCCTGGATCCATGGAATGTGGTTTCAGGGTAGAGCCTATGAGCTTCAGGAATCACATGTAAGATTAGTGTGAATATTCATATGTACATTTTTCCTGGAAGATAATCTATGACTTTCATTAGTACCTCAAAGGGGCCACTGACCCCTAGAAAGGTTAAGAACTGCCATGTAGAGATTCCATGGCCATTTTCCATCTTTGGGTGAACGATTTTTTTTTTTTTTTTTCCTGAGATGGAGTCTTTCTTTGTTGCCCAGGCTAGAGTACAGTGGCACAATTTCAGCTCACTGCAACCTCTGCTTCTGGGGTTCAAGTGATTATCTTGCCTCAGCCTCCTGAGTATCTGGATTACAGGCACCCGCCACCATGCCTGGCTAATTTTTGTATTTTTAGTGGAGACGAGGTTTTGCCATGTTGGCCAGGCTGGTTTTGAACTCCTGACCTCAAGTGATCCCGCCTGCCTCAGCCTTCCAAACTGCTGGGACTACAGGCATGAGCCACCGAACCTGGCCAGGGAAACCATTTTCTTTCCTATTGTTCTGATTTACATTGTCTTTCTACGTTCTCCTGCAGCTTATCATTTGGGCTATAAATAATGGTTACCTCTGCCCCAGAAATACATTGATTGCTTTAAAGAATGATTCTTAACAGAAGGTGTACATCAGATTCAATTGAGAGTGTTCCAACAAAATTATATTGCCTTCATCCTCCTCCTTCCTGCAAGCTACACCTTTACACTAAACCTATAGAATTAGGATCTCTGAAGTTGAAAACTGGAAATTAATATTAAAAAAAAATTTATGACTTAATTATGAACCACTTGGCTGAAGTATTCATATGCTTCCAAAGTAGGAATTACAGGCCATGGAAACTTAGAATTGGTTGGGAGTGCATTTGTGAAAGAACCAGATGAAGTTGGTCTTAGTACTCTCTCCTAAAGTCTTACATGTACCTTGTGGTTACTCTTAGAGTATACATTAGGCCAAGGTGACAGTTCCTGAGCGAAGCAAACTTAGTAGTCTCTGCTTAACTTAGGAAGAATTCAGAGACATGAGTAGCATAGGCCAACCATTCTAGCATTTGAACTATCTGCACAGGGTGGAACCTACTCTTCCAGCTTCTCTGACTTGATCTCTCGACTTTGCTTTACAGACAGCAGTGGCCCTTCTAGCACTGTGTCCAGTGCTGGTCCTTCTTCCCCTACTACAGTAGATGGTAACTCCCAATTTGGCTTCAGTGATCCACCCTCCCTAAATTCACACGTGACTGAAGAACGTCAAGGCCTTGGGCTGCTCCAAGAGACCCCTGGGAATGGAGCACAAGAGCTCTCCATAGAAGGGGAACAAGAGCTTTTTGAACCAAATCAGTCCTCACAGGTACGACCTGTGGAAACCAGCCAGCCATACGACGACGAGGTGGCTGAGGTCAGTCAGCCATGTCAGGAGGTCCCTGACATCAGCCAGCCATACCAGAACATTTCTGAGGAGCTCAGCCAGCCATGTCAGGAGGTCCCTGACATCAGCCAGCAATGCCAGGAGCACCATGACAATGGTAACCACACATGCCAGGAGGTCCCTCAGATCAGCCAGCCATGCCAGACGGCCAGTCAACTGTGCCAGAAAGTCTCTGAGGAAGTTTGCCAGCTGTCTCTGGAGAACCCTGAGGAGGTCAGCCAGTCATGCCAGGGGGTCTCTATGCAGGTTGACAAGCTGGTCCATAGGTTCCATGTAGGTGCTGGTGGCTTGGTTCAGGAAACCCTTATAGAATTTGGCGGGCCAGCTGAAGAGATCCCTGAGGAGGTCAGCCAGCCGTACCCGGAGTTCTCTGTGGAGGTTGGCAGGCTGGCCCAGGAGCCTTCTGCATTCAATCTGTTGTCTCAGGGCATTCCTGAGATTGATAAACCATCCCAAGAGTTCCCTAAGGAGATTGATCTGCAGGCCCAGGAGGTCCCTGAGGAGATAAATTAGAAGTCCTGGGTGGTCCCTGAGGTGGTTGATCAGCTGCCTGAAGAGGGTATTCCTCAAGCCCAGAATCCATCTGGTGATCCAAACACTCAGAGGCAGTCTCTAGCCCATGACCAGCACTCACCCTTTTCACCAGCAACATGTAATTAATTTTCTCATTAGTGGTGTCACACTATACCAGCCATTTGAGCCAGCAACCTTTTCTCTTGGCTAACTCACTGGTCGGCTCTCACCAGCAGTGTCTGGGGAAGCAGTTCCCTTGGTATGAAGCATACCCGTGCTAGAGCTGTGTTTGAGGAGGAGCCAGTTTTAGGTTCAAAGAAGCCATTGGCTCTTCACTTAGCCGTTAGACTTGAATAGGATTTCCTTGGGGTGGGTTGGTCTGTCGTTACCCAGCCTTCTCTGAGCATCCTAGGAAATCACAGATTGTTAAAGGAAATGCTGCTTCACTGCTGAAGACACCATCTGGGGACAGCAAATGCAAAAGAGAGGACTCTAGAGTCTTCACTTTTCTGGGAAAACATTCATGACTTCTCAAGGTACCCTTAGACCATATGTGCATTCAGGAGACTCTTGTCTTTGCCAGCACTCCTCAGGTGAGCCAGGATGGCCATCTGAAATGTCTGGAAAATAGAGTCCCTTCTCCAAACAAACATCTGTCATGACCACTAATCTCTAGACTTGCCTTACAGATCTTTCCATATCATCCCAAAGTGCCCCTTCTGCCTCAGTCCTGTTTCTCTGGGCAATAGCTCTAGGGAAAAGTAGGTATTAGATTGCTGTGCAAAATTCAGAGCAATTACTTAAAATGCCCTAGAGTGTTCTTAGCCAGTCTGTGAAACTGGGTCTCCCTTTGTGGTGGGGCTGTTTGGCTTAGGAGATGCTGTAGTAGTAGAGATAATCAGGTTCTATTTTAAGCAATCAGCAGAGATCAATATTGTACAGATACAAGCAAAGGTTTAATAAATATATATACATACATATATATGTGTGTGTATATATATATTTCTGTAGTTGTGCCAGGGACAGACTGGCCAAAGACCAAACACTCCAGGTTCCCCAAGAAATTTATCCTTATATCATTGTGTCTGAGGGCCAGATATGATTATGAAGCTTTTTCCAAAGATCTGGGGATGGGAATGGGAGGGGGTAGGAGGGATAATGCAGTCATTGGAGTCGGGGGCCGGAACATTGTGAGTGCTTAATAAATATAAAATGATGAGAATGGTGGTGCTGGATGATGGTGATGTCCTTATGGATTTAAGAATGAATATGGGCTGGGCACAGTGGCTCATGACTGTAATCACAGCACTTTGGGAGGCTGAGGCAGACAGATCATTTGAGGTTGGGAGTTGGAGGCCAACCTGACCAACATGGTGAAACCCTATCTCTACTAAAAACACAAAAACTAGCTGGGCATGGTGGCATGCGCCTGTAATCCCAGCTACTCAGCAGGAAAATCGCTTGAACCCTGGAGGCGGAGGTTGCAGTGAGCTGAAATCACGCCACTGCACTCCAGCCTGGCAACAAAGCAAGATTCTGTCTCAAAAAAAAAAAAAAAAAAAAAAAAATCAGTATGACTGTGAATAAGTTGTGTCTGTAACTGATTAATCTGAATCAGTCAGAAGACGTTATAGTTGAGCAGGAATGGGCTGCAAAAATACAGAGATCAGGCATCCAAAAATAGACTATAAAAATATAGAGATTAGATATCCCAAGAGGTGCCTATAGCAGTCAAATCACTATCTCAAAAGGTCTCTTTTTTTTTTTTCTTTTTTTTGAAGCCGAGTCTCGCCTCTGTCCCCCAGGCTGGAGTGCAATGGTTCGATCCCAGCTCATCGAAACCTCCACCTCCCGGATTCAAGCAATTCACCTGTGTTAGCCTCCTGAGCAGCTGGGATTACAGGCACCCGCCACCACACCCAGCTAATTGTTTTATATTTTTAGTACAGAGGGGGTTTCGCCATGTTGGCCAGGCTGGTCTCTGTGAAGCACCAGAGGGTACGTGCCTTGTCACCAAGTTCTTGGAATCATCCTGTTAACTTTTTACTCTGATGGAGTGTCAGGAGTTTATATAAAGGGGCTATGCCCTTTCTCTGGTCCCTTGACATCTTTACTATGTGAGAGCCCAGAACAGTGGGAGAGCTAGAACATGCCCCTCCTCAAATATTCATAACATGGCCACTTCTGACATACCTAGGACTATAAAGGGTTTCCGTGGTGGGGGAAAGTCTACCATTTTACTCCATGGAAATCCTGACTGTGCAAGGAGACTTGTTTCCAACCTCATTAGGCTCTGGATCTCTTAGGATCCCTCAGCTTCTTACCTCTTTAGCCCAAGAGGTTGTCCAGGTTATCTGATCCTGGTTATTTGGTCCTCAGCTCTTGCCCCCACGGAATGCAGATGCCCTCCCCCAGGAGGCCCCTTGCCCCTCTTCCCTCCCCCAAATCAGACGTATGTAAGTATGTACCCACCCTAGGCTCCTATTCTCCATACTCAGGCACAAGCGTTTCCAGTAATCAAAAGCACTGGAGTCTCCTAAGATAAATTCAATGCTGGTTGAAATAGAGAGGTAGGAGCCAGGGCCCGGCAACTCCCAGCAACTAAGCAATGTATGGAATCAGAAAAACCTAAGCAGCACTACACCATCTGCAATGAATTCAGTTTATTGTTAGAGTTGGAGGTGGCTCCGTTACAGCAGCTGGGAACTATAGCAGGGAAGTGTGGGGAGGAGCAGAGCACAGCAGCACGGGGAGGGTGGAGCTAGGAAGTACACTAGGTGGGCTCAATTTGGTTTCCAAATAGTTTGGCAGAGAAGGTGAGCCCAGGTGACTACCAGCTTCTGGTTTCTCAGTTCAGCAGTAGTCTGACAGTGCTGCTCACTGGCTTGCTTGGGATGAGGTCCTCTCCTGGGGTGGTATTTTCGGCCTGTTTTCACTTTACTCTGTAAGAGTTAAGCTATGACTCAGCTGCTTCTCCCTTTTTCCTTCCTCCCTCTCATTTTCCCCAAGTCCTCTGGCCTGGCCTCCATCTCTCAGATCATCTAAGAGTGGGTTTGGAGAGGCAGCCAGCGTTCCCATTTCAGCTGCAGGATGGCATAGTGGAATGTTGAAGGAGTCACACATTGCTGGGGTGTCAAATGTTGGGATGTCAGGCAGTTGCTTATTTTTAACCCATTAACACACCGGGCCACAGCAGATGACCACATGCAGAGAAGCCAAGCAGGGGATGAGAAGGGATCAGGATAATTGAAATGGGGTGAGTAAAAACTTCAAAGAGTCAGGGAGTTTGGAAGAATTCTGGCATTGGGAATGGGCTCTCCTTGCCCTTTTGTGCTGTCTGGACACAGCCTTGGGATGTGAATGGTATACAGCAGGGGCTGGGGAATAAGCTCCTTTCTCCTCTCACCAGTCTATCTATTGGTCTAAAGAGCTTCAAGTTTTAAATTGAGACATTCAGATCCTGAGGGAAGCAGTAGAACAGTGTAGTAGTGGGATAACCCCAGGCCCCTGCTAGAACTCAGACACTGGTGGGTGGGGAGATGGGGGATGGGAGATGGAGGAAAGGGTGCAGCTCTGGGCACCTCACTGACACTATCCGGCCCCCAGGTCACATAAATTGCTATTGGAAATCCTTCCTGGGATGCCAAATAAATAGATTGAGATAAAGAGGTCCTTGGTGTTGGGGATATAATCTGCCTCTATGAGGGAGGAGGTTGCTCTCTGAGACCTATCCTCAGTCCCCATCCAATACCAGCATTTGACAGTGCTAGGAGAGGGTTCTCGGGCATCAGATGCTATCCCATCCTAATTTGTCCCCTTCCCCTATCCTTTGGTTTGAGACCCCTCTCAGGAATGGATGACGGGAAGGGACAATCCCTCCCATTTAGCCCAGCCCCAGTCCCCACAAGAAGACATCTCCCTCCCCTCCCCCTAGCTCCCATCTCCCTCAACACCACAGGACTCAGCAGTAGCCATTATCTAAAGGAGCTGGGGGAGTGGATCCTTGGGGAAGGGAGGGCGGCTCTTTCAGAACTCAATCTTGCAGGCAGGGAAGGACTCATCCTGCATGACCACGGTGCTGCTGCTAGCCAGGACCAGGACGTTCAGTTGCTGCTGCTGCTCATGAGTTTGTTGATACCACTCACGAGTCACCTCCGTGTCATGAGTAGGGATCAGAGTTACCTAGGAGGGAGATAAGACATGCCTGATGTGAGAACATGAAGGGAAGGTAGGTGAGGGGGAAGGGGAACCTGATGGTCTCAGAAACAGCCCTGTTGCCCTTAGAAAAGGTCCATCCTTTAATAAATAGGGACCGTGTTCTAGTGTTCTACTCCTCTGAGTGAGCTTTGACCAAACTACTTCCTTGGTGTCCTTTGCTACTCACCTGAAGATTCTCCCCCCACTGGGCCTTGCCCTCCAGCAGGGCATCCAGCACGGCCCGGCTTGGCTCGCCATTGGCAGGGTCATTCCCACTGACCACATAGTAGGATGCACGCACTCGACGGAAGAAGTCAAGGTCAGCAGTCTTGCCACTGCAATGATTCGGGATATAGGCGAGATCCACATATACAGGGGCACCAGAGCCGCCCTTGGAACTCAAGGCCACTGCAGAGACAAGCCAGTATTCATTGTAGAGGAAAAGTAGAACACTTTTGGCAACCTTCTCTTTCCCACTCCTGGAGTCTGACCAGCTCACACCCAGCCCTAACCCATACTCTCTGCCACTTTTCATTATATACTTACTCGGTCCTGCCTTGAGTCCATTGACTAGGCCTTTGGACATGGGGCTGTGTCCATCCTTTTCCTCTGCTGGGGTGACCTGGCTTGGAGTGCTGCGTGGTCGGGGTGGGGCCCGGGATGCTCGATCTGCAGGTCCTTTACCAGGGGTGGGTGATCGTTTTCCTCGAAGATCCAGACGCCGTGCAGGGGACGCTGGCTTGGCCCTGCCTGGGGCCCTACGCCCTACTCGCCCCTGAACCTTCTCCTTCTCCCGTAGCCTCTCTACTCTCCCAGACTCTGAACTGAGCCCCTCAGGGTCAGCCATGCACACATCAGGGCGGGGAGGTGATGGGCGGGGGTCTGGCTGTGGGAGAGGGGGTGGGTCATGGCCAGGCCTGGGATGGTGAGTGCCACTGACCCCCCCAGCTTTGTCCACAGGCAGGAAGTCCCCATCTTCATCTGAGTCAAGGGCTGCCTCTGCTGTGATGGATGGACACTCCTCAGTTTCTGGTGGGACATCAGAATCTGACTGTGAGGAGCCTGAGTCGCTGGCTGATGTGGGGGGTGTCTCATCAGCCACAGGGCATGGGCCCCCAGTGGTCCCTGACCCCCCTGCCTGGCGCCGCCCGCCTCTTCCTACCAGCCGAGCTTCCTCAGTTGAGAGGTCACTGTCATCTGTGGATGGGGGCAGAATTGGGTTCAGGAAGGATGGGGAGAGCTCCCCCCGAGGGGGTCGGGGCTCAGCAGCACATCCCTGGGGCCCAGCCTCAACCTCAGGAGAGGCACTGCTGGGTGTGTCACCAGAGCCCCCTCCAGAACACAGTGGCTGCTCAGGGGACAGGAGTGTGTCAGGCCGGGAGCTCCTCTCAGCTCCTTCAGGCCAGGCCCCACGTTCCCAGGCAGGACAGGCCTCGGCCTCTTCTTTTTCAGCCTTGGCTGGGGCAGGGCCTAGGGTGTTAGGGTTGGTTTCAGTTAGGCCATTGGCTGCACAATCCCCAGAGGAATCCTGGGAGGGGCTTGGCTTCTCTGTGGCTGCCCCTGAGCACTCCAGGTGGCGCAGCAGGGTGCCATCACCCATATCTGCAGGCAGGCTTGGAGCTGGAGCTAGGGCCAAGTCCACTGAAGCTGGGGGTGCTGGGCTCAGAGGAGTGAGGTCCCAGAGGCTGTGGGTAGCTGGTTCCATTCCTGGGTCCAGCTCTCCAGACTCCTGTTCTGCAGCCTCAAGGCCTGGAGAGAAGCGCTCAGTCACACTTGAAATCACAGGTGTGGTAGCTTCAGAGGAGGAGCCATCAGACAAGGCTGGTGAGGCAGGTCGTGGCAGATTAGAGAGGAGAGGGGCCTCAGGGGAGCTGGGTGATGGGAGCTGCGGCAGCGAGGAGTCCAGGCTGGGGGCCTTGGTCACTTCCAAGTATTCATCATGCCGGGTTCTGGTGGGGGGTCCTGGAGCCAGAGCCAGAGCTCGGTCCCCAGAGAAGGCAAGGGAGCCACAGGGTGCCGAGCGGG